CAGATGTTGCAATTAGTAGAACTTGTAGTGGGAACTAAATTAGCCTAATGGCACTGTGGATGCCTTGTTCTCTATTAATAAAGCTGTAGCGTGGTTCCAACACTCCTCCCACTTCTGTCTGCCTCAGTTCCCAGAGTGCCAGCAGGGTTACCTTTCTGTATCTCAGGACACTTGGATCAGACGCCCATTTTACATGATCATGAGTCTCTCTGTGGGCTGCCTTTGTAAGTCCATCTGAAGCTATTCCAACATTGTGCCTTAAGGTTTCATAATAGTGTCAGTTGATTCAGCATACACTTTATACTCATGTATATGCTGTGTACAGCTGGTGCTCATCTGCTCCTGGTTTCCAGCATCCATGCAAACCTTCCTGCATTGTTTCTTTGCATTATGAAATAAGCATCTTTGCTGATTTTTCCATGGTTTGTTTTGGCTCAGGAGTGAATTGTTCAAGAAAAGTCTTAGGCAACATTTCTTTGGAAATACTTTTAAGCTGTGTGGGTTTTTAAGAAAGCAGCTATCATACAGAGTGCAGGATTCCAAAATGGCAGGACTGTCTTTTTGTTCAAACTGGGCTTTGCTAGATTTGATTAGCATGTGTTGAGGGCACTTGAGACTACTTTGTGCCAGTCTTATGTAGTGGTAGATAAATTGAATTTTTTTTGTGTATGTGTGTGAAGAACCTATCCTTGATAGCAGAGAGTAGGGAGTAAAGTGGTTTCAGACTTTGTCCTGGTTTTTGAATTGTAATAAAATGACAAACTTTTGTCTGGAGTGTTACGCTACCAGCTGAGCACTGATCAGTGGATGATTTTGGATGACCTGCTCTAGGTGTACAGCCACAGCAAGGGATTTGTTTAAAACAGGACTGAAGTTCTGTGTCCTTAAACCATGTCCTGGATAAGTCAGGACCCGATCAGGGCCAAGTACATTTTTTCGCTGGTTGTATGTTTGCCTGGATGAAAAGCTGCATCTGATGGATCTCAGTGGAATACCCAAAAGCATGTTGCTTTTTCCTCCTAAGGCCAGTGTGACTTAGAGGCTGGCTTAGGGCAATAGGGTGAGCATCCACTCTCAGTAGCTTACTGTGGAGTCCCTTGCAAGCTGTAGCATGCTTACTCTCTAGTGAAATACTGCCAATAAAAAAAACCTGCTGGCATTTTGCATAATAGGCACAAACAGTGTGTACCCCATCCCCTGCTTCCCAAACTTCACTGCTCCCTTTCTGTGCTTACTGTGTGGCAAGCAGCCTTCTCCTCCTATCCCAAAGCCATGGGCAGGCCGTCTGCGTGCCCTTCTCTGGTACTGTGGCTCCCAGCTGTGAGAGCAGCCTTCCTTTCCCAAGGCGGTGCAGCCCTGCGGGCTAGCTGATCTCCTAAACCTCTGTTCCTGTAGCTCCACAGCAGGTGAGTGGTGTTCAGACCCCAGAGGTGCTTGGGGAGCCTGTTCAGAGTTGCCAGACTGCTTCCATGATGCATTCTGGTGGGGTTTCCCAAGCCTAAATGCAGCTTTCCCCTTACTCCTATCTCTGTAACTACTGGTAGGAGTTCCCTCTTTGCACTTCCTGGCTTTTGCTTCCAGGCATCTCTTCGAAGCTTTCCTGATCTCACTCCTCTGCTTTAGGATATTGCTGCCAACCTCTATAAAACCTTTTCACCTGCAGTTTGTGTAAGAGGCTACTCAAAATGAAACTGTTTCGTATCTCTTGCTTCCATGCTGCCTGGACTTCTTTTGAACTGCACTGGGGATGTGAACCTCTTTCCCGTGCACCTCTGACTCCTGCTTCAGATGTCAGTCTTGCCCCACAGTGAGTTAACTCAGAGCCCAGGCTGTGGGAGGCTCCACATTTACCCTTACAAGTCTGCATGTTGTCTTCTGAATCCGTGATAACTGGTGTGTCTCACTGTAAGCAGAGTCTGAACTTGGAGAGGTATCTGAAATCCCCTGCGGGAAGGAGATGTCTTGGGTCTAATCCTAACACACCCTGGAAAGGCTCAGCAGAGGAGCTCATCAAGCTCCACCCAGGAAAGCTGAACTGGAATTGCAAAAGTTTGGCTGTTTCATGCAGCCCAGGGTAGTGTGGTAATTGGGCAGCAGTCTCAGTTGTCCTTGCTTTTCCTCTGGGAAATGAATCTACAGCTCCCTCCATCTTAAGGGAAGAAATTGTCGGAGGGTTCAAATAATTAGCCTAATTCTTCTATAGGATTTATGCAGAAAAAACCTTGTGTATGTTTGCCTCTTATTTCTTATGGCTCTTTAAGGTATGAGTAATGAACTTTGAAGAAGGCCTTATCTGTACCACTCTGTGGAATTATCCCAGCTATAAGTCCAAGCTGGGGACAGGGAAGAGGCGGGGCAGATGGTGCCAGCCCTGAATGGGGGGTGGGGATGAAAAGACTTGAAGACAAGCAGAACCAGCAATCTGTCTGGGAGTTGAAGGGGCCCTCAGACATGCCAGAGTAAGGACAGATGGGAGCTAGTTGCTGTGCTGAGCCTCTTGAGGGTACACAGGATGCAGGTTCTCTCCGGTGCTTGCACAGATACTGCGCTGCCCCATGGCATGAAGGGGGAATTCCCAGTTCCTTCCCTTGCCCAGGGAACTGGCCCTGCAGCTTCATCACTTTGAGGCTGATCTTATGTCACAGCGAAATATCTTCAATGAGTGGGCTGTGGGGCTGATACTTGGGCCTGTACAGCTTCTGTGAATTAACTGTGGTCTGAGGACTACAGCAAGTAGCTTAAGGGAAGTGAGACCCTTGCTCTGCCCTGCTGCCCCAGTGCCCTTTGGGCAGTAGAAGGGTCTGGAGAAGGAGAAGGGAACCAGGTGCACTCTCTGAGGATGGTGATTTTTCTTTGGGGATTTCTGCATACTAGCAGGGAGCTGTGAATTAGCTAGCCTCTGGCCAGCTGGTCTCTCTGAAGCCTGCGTCTGGCCACACAGGAGCCTAACCATATTGTTTTTCTCTGTCCGACTTGCAGAAGGTGATGCCAGAAGCCTGCACTGATCCCATAGTCCTTGAGGAATCAAAGCTGTGAAATGGAGGGGTGGCAGAGCTGGGAGATGCAGCCCCCCTCATTCCCATCTTTGCTACCTACAGTCCTCCTGTTACATGCACACCATGGCAGGGAGGAGCAGCCTCAGGACAGGAGCCCAGTGAACTGCTTGTGGAGAGTGTGAAAGAACAAAACAAGAAGGGAGTTGTTCTCTTCAGTTATACCTCTGCATCCTGCTGTTTTGGAGACACTGCTGCTTGGGAGGAAAAGTTGGGGAAAAACCTACTGCTTCCCCCATTGCACCATGTATGCTTGGAAAAGAAAAAGTACACATACTGAGAAAAGCCGTAGTTCCAGGCTAGCCCTGAGCACATGAGGGTGGCACCCTGCACGTGGCTGTCTCCTCTCACAGGCAAGCTGTGACATGAAATGCAGAAGCTGGATCATGCTTACTCTGTGAGCAGCCCTGGAAATGCTTTCAGCTGGCTCTCAGGAAGAGGGATTGCTCTGCCTTGGTGCCTGTGATGCTCTGGTAGATGGTAGAGGCATCAGCACATCACCAGCAAGTGCAGAGCAGTGCATCTGCCACTGCTGGCGCTGGTTTTATTATGCAGCTGTCCCAGATGAAGCACTCTGTGGATAAACCCCTGCTCAGAATTCACTGAGTTTGCCCTGATGTTCCTATATATTAGGAGTAATTGAGAGATACCAATATGCCTCCTTCTACCTGGAGGCAAGGACTAGTTCTACAGCTTATGTTGAAGCTGCAGCCTAAGCCCAGCTCATCACTACACTAGCAACAGAAGTGAGTCAAACCACAAGCTCCCTGGGCTGAGGACTGTGTCTTTCTCCTTAATGATAAAGTGCCTTTTGCATGTTTCAACACTACATAAAACTTTTGTGAAGTGTTATATTGAGATAACCAGCCAAGGCTGTGTTGCTCTACACAGCCACAGACAGGGTTTTGAGTATGATGGGAATCCAGATTTGCTCCAGTGTGGAAGCTTCCCACTTTATAATAGAGAACAGGAGAAGCTGCCCTCTTACCAGCATTTGTGTCTCATAGACGCTGCCCCTCTGTATGCTGCTGTTTATCTTCTAAACAGCTGTAGATCCTTATATCCCTTCTCCTTCCTTTCCAGCATCCCTCCACTGGTGGAGACATCAAGTGTCCTTATACGGCTTAAATCATGCAGTTATGCATACATCATTTTTGGGGGGGGGGGGGGGGAATACAACACACAAAACCCACAAGCAGGTGAAATAGATAAAAATAGTCCTCTCTGTCATACCATTTTTGACAAAACATCTTTTGGGTGAAATTATACAGTCCTTTGACACATTAAAAAATTCAAGTCTTATCTTTGATAGTTTGGGATTGAGGAGGGGGATCTAAAATGGCTTTTCAATAGATGTTTTTATATAAAATAAAAACATTTGAAGTGTACAATGAAACCTTACACATTCATATTAAATGGCTGAAACAGTCTACCTCTGGCTCTTTTAATAGCCTGAAATGTTTGGCAGAAAGGAAAAAATCTTTCTGCCCGGTATTACTGTTGTGCTCTTCCCTTCTGTGTTTTTCCTCGCTTTCTTCTGTGCATGCACTGTCTTCCCAGCTAGGAGATCCTGCTGGGTCCTTCCTACCTTCTGTGCACTGCCCATCTGCTTTAGGCATTATTGCATCTAGGTCTAAGCAACCTGTTCCTGTTTTCGCTGTCTTCTGTAGTTACAGCTCACTGCAAAGGTAGCTTAGTCCTTGCTCATGGATGCATGGTTTCCTGTCACCAGTATGCTGCGTAAACAAGAGCTGTGACAACTCTCTTCATGTGTGTGCATGATGTGAGCAGTCAGACCTGGAAGTTTGTAGGAAGGAGTCAGTGAAAGGTGGGTTTGCTGTAAAGAAAGATGATTTATCCTGCAACATACAGTAGAAACTGCTGTTTGCTCTGAGGTTGCACATCCTCTACCCATTGCTGTGTAGCAGACAGACAGACATAGTGTCCTGCAGTTTTCTGTAATTTATTAGAAATGGCCCCTGAGGAACACACACATGCAAGTTACACAGCAGTGCCAGGGGCAGCACACATTCTCTCTCTCTGGTCCAAAGTGTTCAGTGCATTCTGGGTAGCTCTACACCTCCTCCCCACAGGTACACTGGGAGAGAAGTCCTTAGTGCACTGGGCATGCCTGAGACATTCCCTGCTATCCTCCAGGGAGGCAGTCACCAACTGCCCCCACAAGCTTTGACACAAACTCCTCTGGGACTTGGTCTTTGTCATCAGTCAGTTAAAATGTTGCCTGGACAAGAAAAAACACTTGGTAATGAAGAATGATGGACAGAGTCCAACATTGATCCACCAGTGGGACTGGTGTCCTGGAGAAGTTCAGCCGAGCTTTAGTGGAAGTTTGGCAGTGAAGACAGGAGACAACGGTGACCTACACAGGGCCCTCAGCCTCAGTTTTTCTTCTTGTTTTTTGACAGTGCTTCTACCTCCAGGTACTGCAGCCCAATCAACATCCCCAAGATAGAGAAACCTGTGATGGAGACACAGGATGAGTTGTATAGAAAATGCTGGACAGGAGATGAGACATTCCCTCCCACCATTCCCTCCCTGCCCTTAGCTTATAGCCCCATGGAGAGTTTTTCAGGGGGGGTCATAGCTCCAGGGAGAGTTTGTGGGGGGAGGATGCAGAGCTCTACTTACTTGCTACCATGAGGGGGGCCATAACTCCAATTGTCAAGGCTGCAGTGTGGTAAATGAAGACCTCGGAGAGGAAGTGAACAAGGGCCAAAAAGAAGGTGAAGAGTGTGATGTAATAGAGGCTGTTGGAGAGCAGAAAGAAGCAGGTTATCATATAGCCCACAGTATGGGCTCGAGCATGGCTGAGTGGAAAAGAGGCAAACCTGCATGCTGCCCCATCTGTTCTCACTGTGGCAGCACAGAGGGCTCTTGGGCCCTTGCCTAGTGAGGTGCAAAAGCTCCATGGGCAACAGCTGCAAGAACAGGGCAGCATGTTCAATGGTGTACTGAAAGCCACAGCATTATCTGGCCTGAAGGCAGATGAAGAGGGGAGAGCAAGGCTAGGGCACCAGTGAAGTGAGAAGCATGTGTGCACACAAAAAGAGGGCGAGAACTGGATGCACCGAGAACTAGGGCAACAGGACTTGGCTGACTGCAGGCTGCACCACCCAACACATCTTCCCGCCTGTGCTCTGCTACCCTCTAGGGGACGCAGCTGTGGAAAAGCAGCAGGTCCAAAAGATGCAAGATAAAAAATCCTTCTAAGAAACAACTGGCTTCATAGTAATTGGCATTGCCACCACCCTCCAAAACCAGATAATTGAGTCCCTGCACCCCCCTACCACAGACATGCCTAGGGAATCCAAGGACACGCTGTCAGGTGAACAGTGACTTCTGCTACAGGGCTGGGGGAGGTGGTGACAAAAGAGTGAGTTCTAGCAACCTCCAACACATGCTTTGTCTTGCACAGACCCAGAGTCAGCCTGCTTGGAAATCCCTCTCAGAAATAGTTCTGTTACCGCAGGGAGAAATGGCCTGCCTCCCACCACAGCATCAGGCTGCACCTGGGGCCTTGTCCTCAGCCCCAGATAAGAGTGTATGAAGAAGGCAGCGGGCTAAGACCACTGCAAGGGGCCTGTCAACCTGCCACAGTCTTTAGCTGAGCTGTCACAGCAAAAGAAGTACCGAGCATCAGTCAGACCACAGCATTAGCAATTGTTTAACGTCAACAGAGCAGCAACACCACCAGAAGATGCTTTGCAAGCTGCAGCTCAGAAATTTGTGACATAAGAAGTTCTCAGATCTGCCAATTTCTGCCTGAGCTAAGAAACACAACTCAAATGTGCAGGCTCTCCCCACAGAGGCAGAAGGGAGCAGCAGTTAACGCACAAATCCCGCACTGCTATTTAAGCTTGTTCAGGGGAACGCTTTCAACCCTACAGAAAGTTCAGGAACAGCTTTTGATTCCCCACCTCCTCCACGCTGCCCTCTAAGCTAGCTGCTCAGGTTGTGACTAGCAAGTAAACCGAAGGATTTCTCCGGTGCTCCTTTACATACGTCCTATTGCGGATGTCGATGGCGCAGAGACAGCGGATCACTGATGACAGCAGGGTCCAGACGCCAAAGGTCCGAGCCTGGAGCCCGTTCACTGCGCAAAGAAGGGGGGAGCACATGGAGACCACGTACAGCCCGCTTGCCACCCCCCATCCCCGCC